ACATCGATGGTACCTTCACACACATGCAAGTCACCCATGCCGTTTGCATTGATTCACCCCATACCATGACAGATGTTTGCCGTACCGGTCACCGGTCGCTGATGAAAGTCTGGATGGTCCCTTTTGTCTTAGAAAAGTCAACGTCCGTTTTTTCCAAAAACAAGCTGGAACGTGGACTCCTCTGACCAAAGCACACATTTACACTGTCTTTTAGATCATCTATTTCCAAAGTACTCCAGAGCCCAAGTGATTTAGCAGTAGCATGATGGTTTCTCATGCAATGCCAAGGGCTCGAATGTCATGCACATTCAACAGAGGTTTCCTGCCGTGCCTTACACGGACTGAGATTTCTCTGGATTCCCTCAATCTATTCACAGTATTATGTTTGGTATGCTGAAAGACCTAAACACTTTGCAATCTTGCATTGAGAAATGTGTTTTTTGAATAGTGTGACAATTCTCTCATGAAATTTGGGACAAAGTGGTGAGCCATGACCCATCTTTGTTTGCAAATACTGAGTCTTTGGTGGATGCTCCTTTAATACCCAAACACGATACCCCCTATTACTAAGGGTGTATTCACACCAGGAAAGTCCGATAGTTCACTTGCTTTGGTCCGGACCAAATATATATATATTTTTTGGTACGGTTCGCTTTCACACTGCTCTTTTTGCAAGTAAACCAAAATTTGTAAACAAAACCACACGTGTGCTAAGGTCGTCCATTCATTGGACAAGGATTCTCAAGTAGGGAAATCAGGAAGTGCAAAAAAGGCTCAACATGGAGATATTTCGTACTGCAATATTTGTTATTTTACTAATTTTGTGTTATTCTGTACAAACGCAATATGAAGAAACTGCGCAGAATACGGATAAGGTATAAAGTTTTCATTCATAGAGAGGGGCTTTGTTCACACATTCAAATAATGAGATTCTTATTGTATATACTGCTAACAAGTGCTGTCAATGTTAACGCTTGCGATTAAGTTTGTCCAGTTTAACGCAGCATCATCCTTGTATTGTAACTATCGTTACATTATATGAACTGCAAAAGCTTTTTTTGCATCTATGCGCGATTAGACTAAAGAGAACGCGCTGTATGTGAATGTCCTGATGCACACACTCATTCATTCATTCATTCCAATGATGCACACACACGACGCGCAGAAAGACGCGCAACAGTATCATGTGGCCAGACAGCGCGCCGGAATGGAATTCTCTTTCGCACTTGAACAACAATAACACAAACCATTATGCCAAAATCTCCGACTACGGAAGCCTGTTAACTCAAAGGCGCAGTGCTTTCTTGCAATTGGGTCGGTTCATGTTCACACCGTAAACGAACCGTACCAGAGTTCGTTTGGAACCGTACCGAGACCACCTCTTCAGCTGGGTCTCGGTTCGGTTGTTTGGTCCGCACCCGAGTTCGATTGCTGTATTCACACCTGCCCAAAAGGTCCGCACCAAGGGGGGAAACGAACTAGAGTTCGATTCAATCGAACCAAACAAGGCAGGTGTGAATACACCCTAATTCACCTGCTAATTGTGGACTTTCAAAACAGTTTAATTTGGATAATCTGTAATCTTTTCACTTTTATTTTGGCTCCGTCCCAACTTTTTTTGGAGTGTGTTGCAGCCATCAAAAAAAATATATATATATATATATATATATATATATATATACAAAATGCAATTAAGTTGGTCAGTGAAAACAATTTTTATTCTTTGTACTTTTGTCACCTTAAATATAGGTTCAAGAGAATGACCAAATCACAGATTCTTGATTTTATTGCGTTTTACAAAATGTCCTAACTGTTCTGGAATTGGGGTTGTAAAAAGCTTTTTTATGTGCACTTATTAGCATTTTTTTTATTTGTTTTACAACTCATACTCTTGCATGGTGAGAACAAGTTTATTAAATCTCTGGGCATTTATCACATTTATCAATGTTTTGAGACTAAAATAAGAGAGTGATTTCTGGTCACAGTTTTAAGGATTGAATGAAAAGTGTCAGCAGCTGTCAATTTTAAGTCTGTATTCAAATTCCAAGTATTTTATTATTCGTGCCATTTCCATGTTAAGTGCTAAATTATTTGAAAGGTTTTCTTTTGCTTTTTATATATGAGAATACAGTATATAAAAATACATTGGTGAATCTGTCCCACCAGTGCCCTATAGTTTCTTTTAAATGGACTGCATTTATATAGCGCTTTCACAGACCCAATGGCCACCAAATCGCTTTACATATTGCCTCACATTCACCCATTCATACACCGACGGCGGTGTCAGCCATGCAAGGCGCCATCCAGCTCGTCGGGAGCAGCTGGGGTTAGATGTCTTGCTCATGGACACCTCGACACTTGGTCAGGTGGAACCGGGGATTGAACTACCAACCTTCCGGTTTGTAAACAACCTACATGAACCACTTAGCCACTGCCGCCCCAGAAGACCATCTTCTTCTTTTAGAAGAAATGTCCATTGATGCAATTCTAGTAAATGGCTGGGAGATAAAAATAGTGCCCCCAGGTAATAAGCAGCTGAGGAAATACGAGTTCGGAGAACTGCTTACAAATAATAGGTGTTGTTTTGTTAACAGATGATATTGTGAATTGAAAATGTTTGGTTGTGGGTTGTTAGAGTAACAAACCCTATAGCATTCTGAAACTGCCACAGAATAACTCCTGTCACACATGGAGTCATTAAAGCTGTGGAGAATATAATAATATAAAAGAAGAGGCTCTCAAGAGAGAAACATTTTGGACTTATGCTCTCAAACCAAGGTCTCCTGGTCTCAGTGAAGATTTGAACATTACTCTTTTTTATGAACTCCTCCTAATGACCCAAGTATCTCCACATTTTCAGCTGTGAGATGCTCTATGGGGAGATGGTTCTGTTCACAATATCCTCAATTACTTTTAAACTTTTGTTGGGTTTTAAACTACATTACCTATAATTCAACTGAAGCAATTAAGGTAATAGATTGCACTATAGGCAAATTGGTTAGCTCGATGTAAACCACACCCTGTAAGTGTGATTTAATTGGTGGACGGTGTTGGAATGGTAAGTAATTAAATGCTTTTGATTTCACACCTAATTATTGCAGGACTACAGCCCTGTTTGAAACTGGATTCATTGTATAAGTTTGAGAAAAGTCCAAACTAAAAAAGGAGCAGTTTCTTATCTTTACCTTATAGGGAAGAAACACTGAACTAACACATTAATATAGGATTCTGCAAATGATGTGCCCATAAGGCTGCCAAAATACAAAAAAATGTTGTGATGTGCTCTGCTGCTAACATACAACATTATTTCAACCACAAATAAAATGAATTGGTTGTGGACATTGATGCATAGTTTTCCCTTTAATTTCTTATTGCCCTCCAGACAAATTGTTTTAATATAATTTGTATCTTCATTTTTATTTTAAGAGCAGTGCACCCAGTATTATAAGACTTGTTCGTATGTCACATAAACAAGGTTTCGACAAGTATAGGTTTCCCATCCTGTGCAGTGATGGTCTGACCTGTCAGCTGTCACTGACAGGCTCATTATATATTCTGCAGTCCTGCCAAAATAAGGAGATGTTGGCTATAGGTTTATGAAGAGGGATGTGAATTATTTCCTGAATCATTTCACAACAATCAGGTAGTTACTATTGAGTTTTATATAGGCCTGGATAAATGTTCTCAAGTATTCCAAAACATGCCATAAATGCTATTAATAATTTATCATAATGAAACTGTATTCTTGACTCTAGGAAGTAGGCCTATTTGCACTGGTATAGTCTTTAGGTCAGGTAAATGAAGTTAGTAGCCTACCTTGAGAGAATAATCGCTTCCAATCTACAATGTCCAGTCTCCAATGAACATTCAGGATATTTCCATGTTACAAATACACATGCCAATTTCTGCAAAAAAAAACAACAACACGATTTATGAACCATAGGAAGCATCCTCTGGTTTGCACATCTTTCAACCCTAGCTTTTAGGAGGTCATACCTCACCTTATGTAGCTTACTCTTATATAGCCAATTAGAAAAAAACTATTGCCAACACATGTCTTTAACGAAACATTGTTAACAGTCAGTAGCCTATGTCAAAAAACGTAGAAACAAAACAAATTATTTTCAGTTCAGCAGATCAGTAACCTGTCTAATCGATTCAGTTCAGTGAATGATTCGTCACAAAGCCTAACTGATTCTGACGGTTGCTGAATTCGGAACCGCATAATAGGCTATAGCCTAGGCTGCTACTTTTACCACATCTTTCTATGGCAGAAATAGTAAGAGAAGTATGCGGTTCCGAATTCAGCCTGTGACTTCAGCTAGTTTGAAAAGCACCTGTTATTGTAAAATGTTCGAAACTTCATGAATCACAGCAGTGTTTCGAACGCTCAAATACTTCTCAGAAGATATGTTTGTGAATCGGACTACACCAGTGGCTTAGCTGTTTGTTTATCTGTGGATTTCACGGCTCAAGGACATGGACAACTCAACAGAAAGACGTTTCGTAAGCTATTATTTTGCGGTCCATTATATATTGCATAATAGGCCGATTCGATACAGACTTCAAACTCACTTCCAGTAGGCTTCTCAGCAGGTATGATTTAACCTATGTTGCCGTGGCTCTCAAGATTAGAAAGCAATTCGGTAGAAAAGGAATAAAAATAGCCTGTTGGGGCATTTTAATATTTTAGCTGTTAAGATGCTTGTATAGCCTAATATTTCTGTAGGAAACGCGTAATGTTCTATGAGAGAATAGTTCTTCTAAAACAAAACGACACTGTCTCCACTTGGAGCAAATATGTAACCTGAAAAGAACCACTGAACGAACCAGTTACTGAATCGTTTTTGTAAACGGATTCAAAGGATTCCGAAATCGTCACTGTACGAACCAACGAACAAATCTTTTTGGTGAACTGATTAAAAAGATTCGAGTCACTGGGATGAATCAAAATCCCCAGTAGCCTAGTCAGTCAGTCAGAACAGAAGCGGGTGGAGCGAGCGCGCGCCATCAGCCTCCAGCACAGCAAGCTCGCCATCCAATCAGCGCAAGGCGGCTGTCTTATACTGCTGTGTGCTCTTCACTTTTTACACTCTCTGCAACGGCGTCTGATCCACTGAAGTATCAACAAGTATGGTAAGTCATGATAATGCATACAATTTATGTTAAAACGCTAACTTTTTTAAACCACACATAATGCAATATCTGTAATTCGTTCTGGAAAGTAGGCTACTGAGATTTGTCTTGTCTTGTCTTATATGCTCGTGTAATATTTTTGTCATAGTCTTTCATTAATATTTTCCTTTATTTTATTTTTACGTCTTTTGTAGTTCTCAATTTGAAGAACAATGAATTTAGGTTGACATGCTATTCGATAGGCTATTATATTCCTAGTCAGCTGTTTATTGTTATTATTATTATTATTATTAGCTGTTTATTGTAATCCAGTAGGTGCAGGATATGTTTATAATATAATAATTGGATGTTTTCAAGCGTGAGTATTAAATATAGACTTTGAGTAGACCAGATTTACAAGCACTCAGTTTTGTTTGCAAATGACTTAATTTCCCACGTTATATGGTCTAATTAAATACGATGACTCTTTCTCTCAGCGTTTCTTTCACGTATTCAGTCTGTTGTTAGCAGTATACGCTTACCAAGTCCAGCCTCGTACTATAACCTATGCCGTCGTCATGTTTTGGCAGTACATTTTTCAATGTAAACCAGATAGCCTACGTCTTTAGCCTACCAATGAGAGAAGAAAGAGAGATTGAGATAAATTATGACACTCCAGCAGAGTTGCCAGATTGGAAATGTACAAGTATTTTACCAAGCTCAAAATTATCGTATTTGGAAGAAAATTATCGTACACGAGTCAAACGTAGCCTACAGCTATATTGATCAACAACGTTTTTTTTGTTGTTGTTTTTTGTTTGTTTTTTTTAACTTTTTTCTTCTTCTTGCAAAACATACAGAGATTACATGTATACAACTTTGTATACAATATAAAAAAAGAACGTTAAGTTGTGCTCATGAGAGAGTCATTCTCCACGATGATTGGCCGAGACGACCCCGTTCACGTTCTTCTCACGGTAGACGTAGAATCCACAGCTAGATCAGCATAGAAGCCCTATGATTACAACGACCATCATTTGAAGTGTCACAATTCTGAAATGATCGATTATGGGATTTTTTTTTTTCATTATTGATCGTACATAGTACAGAGGTCAAAATAATCGTACAAATACGATAATTATCGTAGCCTACGTCTGGCAACACCAGCGTTGTCTCTTCACTCTCAAACTATATCAAAGCTATTCAAGTCTGTTGTGTTGAGAAGCATACAATACTTGATGTTCAATTCATAGTAATTTCTAACTATAACACATTAATGTGGAACTGCACCACTAGGGGCTCTAGTGAGGAATTGTGTTAAATATAGTGATGATGAAGAAGAATAAAGTTCGAGATGTGAATTGTACACCGCATGGAGAGTGTTCTGTTAAAGTGTGAAACACCACAAATTGGCGACGAGGATGAGCGCTTCAGTGCCGAGCCCGCCCCCGTTTCTTCCTGTTAGTGGGGAGCCACCGATTCCATTTGATACGTGGCAGAAAATCTTTCATAATTACATGATAGTCATCCAGGCAACTGGAGATGCATGGCCGGAGAGACGCAGACGAGCGGTCTTGCTGCATTGCTTGGGGACGGAAGGCCAGCGCCTGTTTTATACTCTGCCAGACCAAGGTACTACTTTTGATGAAGCAATGGCTGCACTTGAGAAACACTTTGTGCCTAAAGTTAACGTAGTTGCATGCCGACACACGTTCAGACAACGTGTGCAAAGAGCGGATGAGACTGTTACGCAATACGTTGCCGCTTTAAGAGCGTTAGCAGCCCCATGTGCGTTCGGGCAAATGGAGAGTGAAATGCTCCGTGATCAGTTGATCGCAAATGCGACGTTGACTGCAGTAAAGGACAAATTACTGTTAGAGGATGACCTCACTCTAGAGAAAGCGATTACAATCGCATGTCAAGTGGAAGCTGCAGTTAAAAATTCGTCATTACTCTGTAATTCCACTGCTGCTGCCATGAAGTCGGTACAAGCCATTAGTATGAATACTAAGTATGGCAGAGGGGGAAAGGGCGCACGGTCAACTAAGCAGTCACACGTTGCTCAGAGACGATCGGAGGATCGAAAACAAACAACGACCGATCAGCAACGTCGACAATGCTTCAGATGTGGATCGGACAAACATCTGGCAAATGATAAAAACTGCCCTGCTGCTAAAGTGACATGCAGACACTGTGGAAAAAAAGGACACTTTGCTAGAGTGTGTAAAGCAGCTGTGAGTGAAGTAAGAGAGGTGGTAGTTCCAGACGTGACTGTTCTCTGTGTGGATAACTTAAAACAATCTGTTACAGCCAATGATAAGATCACCTGTGAAGTGAATATTGAAGCACCAGGAGGTCATAAACATAAGTTACAACTGGTTGTAGATATGGGTGCATCAGTTTCCATACTTCCAGAAGATGTGTATAAGAAACACTTCTCACAATGCACCCTGAGTAAGCCCAAAATTAAACTTGTCACTTATGCAAAAGAGAACCTACCAGTTATTGGCTGCTTATCGGCATTAGTGGGTGTATCAGCAAATGACAATGTAGTTCCAGCTACTTTTTATGTAGTGACTGCAGGATCTCCCTTGTTAGGGTTAGATTTAATAAGACTGCTGAACCTGAACATTGTAAGCGGAAAAGTAAAGCCAATAGACAATGAATGTGGAATCTCACCTGCACCTCTCCATATGTCTCAGCATTCCACAAGTCCTGTGTACACAGTTTCACCTGTACCTGCTACTCACCTTGGATGTGTGAAAGGATTCATACACAAAGTGCAAGTTAATTCAACAGTGACACCAGTACGTCAAAAATTGAGACGCTTACCACTCAGCATCCGCAAGGAGGTGTCCACTGAGCTTAATCGTCTCCTTACAGCGGGCATAATTGAACCAGTTGATGCTTCAGAATGGGTTAGTCCGTTGGTGGTGGTACGTAAGCGTGATGGACACATTAGACTTTGTGTAGACCTCCGTGAACCCAATAAGAGTGTGATTATGGATTGCTTCCCATTACCTCACATGGATGATTTGTTTACTGAACTTGCAGGTGCTTCACATTACAGTCAAATTGATCTGAGCTCTGCTTACCACCAGCTGCCTCTCCATCCTGACAGTCGTAACCTGACTGCGTTCATAACGCACGAAGGCCTTTTCCGCTTCACTCGGGTTCCGTTTGGACTAGCTTCAGCGCCGTCAGCCTTTCAAAAAATGATGCAAACGGTCCTAAAGGAGTTTGAAGGGGTAAAGAATTACTTAGACGACATTATAGTGTATGGAAATTCTCAGGAGGCCCATGATAAGCACCTCCACGATGTTCGTCAAAGGCTAGACGAGGTTGGCTTGCAGATTAACTTTGATAAAAGCTCTTTCAACCAAGCAAGCATTCCGTTCCTGGGTCATGTCATTTCTAAAGAAGGACTACGACCCAGCCCAGACCACCTGACTGCCATTTCAGAAGCACCTCGACCTACAGATATGGTAGCTTTACGTTCGTTCCTAGGGCTCACTTCATGGTTCAGCAAATTTCTCCCAAGCTACGCTACTGTGGTTGAACCGCTAAGGCAGATGCTCAGAGCTGATGCAAAAACGCCATTACAGTGGAGTAAAGAGACTGTTGAGAGCTTTGATACACTTAAGAGAATGCTGCTGGAGAGCCCTGTTCTTTCCATTTATGATCCTTCCCTTTCCACATTCATTACTACAGACGCCTCAGATTACGGCCTTGGTGCTGTCCTGACACAGTTACATCCTAATGGTGTCGAACGTGTGGTAGCCTTTGCATCCAGGACGCTATCAACGTCTGAGAGGAAATATTCTACTGTGGAGAAGGAGGCGCTTGCGTGTGTTTGGGCGGTAGAAAAGTGGAGAACGTATGTATGGGGACATCGTTTCACTCTAAGAACTGATCATCAGGCCCTCACTACGCTTCTCTCCACAAAGGGCTTGGATAGAGCAGGCATGAGGGTAGCTCGTTGGTCTGCTAGGCTCCTGTGCTTCCAGTATGATGTACAGTACTGTCCAGGTAGAAAAAACTGTGTGGCGGATTGTCTCTCCCGTATGCCATTGAGCCACACAGACACCACTGTATCCATTGAACAGGATTTGATTTCTGAAATCGCAGAAATACAGCCCTTTCTAATTGCGTTGCCGCTAGTGGACTTTAAAGCTGAATGCGAGGACTGTCCAGAACTGTCTCAGTTACGTCAGACAATTCAGACAGGTTGGCCTAAACTGCAAAAGTCTGTCTCAAGTGACTTGCGTCCATATTTCCCCATCAGACATGAACTGGCGGTTGAATCGCCATTGATTTTCAGAGGGAATCGTTTGATTGTTCCTATTGCACTGCGGGAACGCCTCATTCACCTGGCGCACGAGGGACATCAGGGGCTGGTGCGAACCAAACAGCGTCTGAGGGAGCTGTATTGGTGGCCGCGAATGGACGATCTTGGTCACACAATCCTGTCTGCATGTGTGACCTGCCAGGCCAGTGATAAATCGACTAAAACTTTTGCAGCTCCAATGCAGCCAGTGGAGTTCCCAAAAGGCCCATTTCAACATGTTGCTATTGATATAGTAGGACCTTTCGAAAAGGGAGCTACTGACTGCTAACGGGGCCATCGAACGGTTCAACAGGGTGCTTAAAGGGTGTATTCAAGCTGCTGAAGCGGTTCGTAAGCCCTGGAAATCTGCAGTCCTGACCATGCTGAAGAGCTATCGAGCGACACCCCATGCTACAACGGGTGAGACCCCTTTTCTGCTCTTGAGAGGCCGACCTATGAGGACAAAGTTGAATGTCCTTCTTCCTGAGGATAGCCCTGATCAATTTGCTCAGGTGAGAGCTCGTGTGACGCAACGACAGAACAAAAGTAAAGAATATACCGATCGTAAAAGAGGAGCTAAATTTCCTAAAATTGCGGTTGGAGATAAGGTGAGAGTGAGAAAGCCTTTTCACGTGAAAAAAGGAGAAGCCCGGTTCACTGATCCGTTGTCAGTACAACAACAAATAGGACCGAGTACTTTCATCTTAAGTGATGGGAAAACATGGAATTCAGCACGTCTTTCACCATGTCCAGAAAGAGAGGAAAACTCTGCACAGAATGAAATACCTGAAAGAGACTATACAATGGAGAACACTGCTTTGAGCTTGAATAGGGGCTTAAGACCGAGACGCCCACCTTTGTGGACTCAAGACTATGTGTTGGAGTAATGTGTCTGAAGAGAAATAAAGAAGTCAGACCAAGAAGATATGTAAAGGGTGTAGGCGGACCGCTGCCCTATTTAAAAAAATCGAATGTACACTGAATTCTGAAATGTTTGATGAATGTTATTCTGTGTTATGTTAAAAGGATAAAAGTGTGCTAGAAACTTTCATTATGCTACATTGAAATGCCTATTTGAAACAGACTGTTGTTTGGTTTGATAAGAAGTTATTTGAATATGTTTATTTGAGATAAGTTGTTGTTTGAGTAAACAAAATTGGAATAAGGTAATGATCTTAAAAGAGTAGTAATTCTGTTTGAGTAACAGGGGAGATGTTGTGTTGAGAAGCATACAATACTTGATGTTCAATTCATAGTAATTTCTAACTATAACACATTAATGTGGAACTGCACCACTAGGGGCTCTAGTGAGGAATTGTGTTAAATATAGTGATGATGAAGAAGAATAAAGTTCGAGATGTGAATTGTACACCGCATGGAGAGTGTTCTGTTAAAGTGTGAAACACCACAAAGTCTAAGTAAGTTAACAGTCGGCACACATCCAGTTGTATTAAATTCCATCTTACATATAGCCTACCTACGTTGTTACATTGCTCTCATGTGTTATTTCCATATCTTTTTTAGAATATTTTGATATAATTTCTTTTGAGGTAAAGTGTCTTACTTTAGAAAAAACACCTCCATGTTCTGCTCTTGTCATTTCCTTCATTGGCATTTGGCAATATAGTTGAAACGTGTGTTGCCTGTTATTGACACATATTTTAATTTAATTTAATGTAAGCTAAAAAGCAGACAAATTACGTATTTGTATTCAGGTAGCCTACAACGTTTTTAAAATGTTTTAGTTTGGTTACATTCTTTTTCAGTTAAATGTGTGGTTTCTTTAGGATTTTTTAAAAACGCTTTACGGTGACTTTAAATAACTGCAATTGTGATGTGCTTGCTGAGGGTGTATCACTCACAATCCCTCTTTCGCAACACAACTTTATAGATGAGCCATGTGTCCTACTTGCATCCTATTGGGGGCTTTAGGTTTTAGCATCCATCACAATAATCAACTACTGCTACTGAGCTGCTGCTGATTCAACAATCAATCCTGAGCTGTGTTTCTTATTGCCTAGTACTGTACATTGCCAGTGAATTAATCTTTAATTTCGACACTTTCAAATGATGCATCCCACATGTCTCATGTGCTGCCTGTGACAAAGTTTTAGTGGAAAGAATGAAAGTCACTTCACTGCATCATGTGTTCGGCGTAGGCCTATTAATATTTTCTACCTGACTTACGGACTCTTGTAAAATGAGTTGCTGTCTCAGCAGAGGGGGTTTTGACAAAAGAGCTTTTCACACTTGAAATAGTTAACCCTGTCATTCTATACACAGGGTAAAGGGAATCACATCTCATAATTTACCCGGTGTTAACAATACATCCTGGGTATTCATAAGCTGACGTTTCACACTCTACATTCCTAAACCCTGCTAACATCCTTATTTGCATATTTGCGGTGTCAGTGTCACTGATTGGCGAACGCTGTACACAAAACATTTACAAAAAGGCTCTAAAATTGCACATATTATATAGCCTACTGTATGTATTCTTGCCTTTAGTTTGAAAAGTCCATTCAGGATAAACTTGATAGTACAGTATGCCCATGTATGGGCATACTGTACAATCAAGTTTATCCTGAATGGACTTTTCAAACTAAAGGCAAGAATAAAACGGTCTCTTCTTCACAATTGTCACAGTTTCTGTCACAGTTTGACATTTTCCCGCCTCAAATACTGAAACTACTGTTTATACAACACGCAGTGTTTCTGTGACTGTCCAAAGCACGTGAATATGAGGCTTGTTGGTTGCTAAGCATCTAGTCGTAACATTCTAACACTGCATCGTTTCACACTGTACAAATTTGGCTCTTACAAGTGTGAAACGTTCCTTTACCCGGGATTAAAAGCGGGGTTTAGAACGACAATAACGCGGGGTTAAAAGGGCAGTCATGATCTGATTGATCGGCACAATGTAGGACGTTAAAGGTATAGTGTGAATTAAATCGTGTGATGTTTTCCTCACCCTCATGTTGTTCTGACACTGTGTTATTTTGGTTCTTCCATGACACACAATGAGGAATGTCAAAGATGCCCCAAGCTTTGTTTGACTATTAATTTAACCATATAGTTTCAAAAGACTTGAAATATAGTTGTCATATGGACCACTTTTATGATACTTCCGAGAAGCCATTTTATCCTATTTGGAGTTTGTTAGTATTTAATAATAATAATAATGAATAATAATTAATTAATTAGTCAGTATTTAGCAGTTCACTTTCCTTGTGTTGAAAAGAACATCTGGGATATTCTGCTTATTACAGAATTTACATCTTTTGGATTTCATTGATGGGAAATAAAAAGGTTTGGAATGACATGATGGTGAGTAAATGACAATATTTAAATTTTTGAGTGAACTATTGGGATATTAAAAAACTTTATCCATGTGTTTTTTTGTTTTGTTCCATCATTAAAGTTTAATAGCCATTAATGAGCATTGTGTTGCTATGCCGCACACGAGACATTGATTTGTTTTTGTTTGAACAAATTGGCCATTTCTAATATTATTAGATTAAATGCAGCATAACAAATGTAATTCGTCTGCAAGATATGAGACTTATCTAAAATTGTTTTGTCATGGGTTGGATCCATTTCAGGTCAGAGCACTCTAATGTTGCTTTATATCTTAAAGGGATAGTTCACCCAAAAATAAAAATTCTGTCATCATTTACTCACCTTCATATTGTTCCAAACCTCTAAAAAATAAAGTCATACAGGTTTGTAATGACATGAGGGTGAGAAAATAACAGAATTTTCAATTTCCTCTTTCAATCTTTAATTTATATAAAAATGAATTTCTTTGTTAATCCAAAATGTCTGTTTGTGTGGGTGATTATTGTTCTCCTTTTTGTTCTTGCAGTTTCCAGACCTGGCAGGAGAGATTTCAAGTGAATGAAGCCCTCTTCAAATCTTTCTTCTGCTTTTGGTCTCTAATTAAAACTTGGCTGTAGAACCTTTTCCTCTCAAATGTTTAATTGCCTCTCAGATGTTGATGGACTCGTTTGGATTCTCTCCAGGACACTCACAATGGCTTCAAACACCTGAAAATTAAAATCACTACTCTACATATGCACAAAGGGCGTTGATAAGGAAAAACTCCCCGCTGTTGGAATGACACAGTGACATGTAATGTTTACTCATTAATTTTCCAATATGACTTGGATTAACAATGACTGCCCTTGAACTGTAGAGCATTCAGAAAGTAAGTAGCTGGACATGACTTACCCTGGAGGGTCTCATGTGTCAAAGAAAGTCTTCATCCCTCATGGCTATCCCCTTATCTTGAGATTACTTTTAGCCGTGATTTGTTTGAGCGTGATGGGTTTTGCCTGTCCCAAGAGCTGCCACTGCTCCGAGAGGAATGGCCTAACCGTAGTGCAGTGTTCCTCTCGCAACCTTGTGGAGATCCCCCCCGACCTTCCGCACGATACTGTGTCACTTCAACTGTCCTCTAATCGCATAACCAAGATCCCAAACCAGGCTTTTAAAAACCTTCCCTGGCTCCAAGAATTGGACTTGTCAAGGAACGCTATTGAAACCGTGGACGCTGGGGCTTTTCAAGGTGTCACGGAGAGCTTGAGGGCGCTCGACCTGTCCCATAATCACATGCAAAGCGTCCCCAAGGAGGCCTTCGCTCGGCTGCATGCCAAGATCAGCCTGTCCAACAACCCGTGGCATTGCGAGTGCACCCTGCAGGAGGTGTTGCGCGAACTCAGGCTGGACCCCGAGACGGTGAACGAGGTGAGCTGCCACACCTCTGTTCAGGAAGAGTACGCGGGCAAACCTGTCATCCAAGTCTTGGATTCAGGCATAAACTTTTGCAACTTCCACCATAAGACTACCGATGTAGCCATGTTTGTCACCATGTTTGGTTGGTTCACGATGGTCATCGCTTATGTCATCTATTACGTACGACATAACCAGGAAGATGCCAGGAGGCATCTGGAGTACCTCAAGTCTCTGCCAAGTAGCTCCCAAATTAGTAAGGATTTTGACACAATCAGCACTGTTCTCTAGCATCAATCAATGCAGTGTAGGAGTGAATGTGTTTGGCACAGTGATGATGGCACAACAGCAAGCCTTATAAGGAAGAGTGGGGCAAGATGTGTCATTTAATGAAGTCGTCCTCTAGGAAAGGAGAAATGATGAATCACTGATGAACATGTGAAAGATTTAAATTTCAAACACATTTTGATAATGCACAAACCAATTCCAAAGTATTATTTTGCTGGACATTATTTTAATTTAAATGTTTTATTATGATAGTGTTTTTGTGCAGTTGGAACCAAATCTTACCAAATGCCAAACACACATGAATATATATATTTTTATTTATTTATTTTGCTTTGACACCAAATTAATTTTTTTCTGCTTCAGAAAATATATTTTTACATGCAAAAAAATACATTAAAAATAAAATGGATATTTTAAAGAGAGAGATGCACATGATAAAAAAAGAGTCATTTTTTAACTCTTTCCCCACCATTGACGGAAATTTCCAGCAATCCATGTTTTCACTGTTATACAGTACAGTAAGGGGTGCTATTACACATCTTCTGAAGGGGTACAAAATCTCCAGATCAAAAAGTCGAAACAAGCGATTATAAAAATTGCTTAACCACTTGTAAAATAACTCGACCATCAAACATTAACAAGTCTTTGACAAAATGCTATTTTCTCAACTGTTTTTTTATTAAACTTACCCACATTCAAGTGTTGATTAAGAAAAAGGAATGCATGAAGCTAGTTTTTCTTTTATTATTATTTTTTTTAGCAGAGCCTCTGTTCTTTCTTTTGATATATTGCATGTTCAGATATTCATACAACTAAAGATTCTGGGGGCTAAACATTATCAAAAATGCTGGCTTAAAAAAAATGCTGGTGGGGAAAGAGTTAAATATATGGCCCAGTTTCTTGAATTAAGGAGGTGACAGATTAGCCACTGACACATCTTACCCCACCGTTCCCAAGTTAAAGTATTATTTAATTGTGAATGTTTTTCGTGGTTTTTCACACAGTGAATGTGTTGACAATTGTTCTGTGATGCAATTCAGTGTTCCCATTCATGTACCCTCAGTCGACCTACATAAGTCCTGCAGTCTCGGTGGTGGCCGCTTTGTGCCTCACGACAAGCTCTGCAGAAGCTCCAGTTTTTCTGCAGGTGCTTAAATCACATTTTGTTCTTGAATTGATTTATTAATTTATATGCTAATGTGATGGTTTCAGAACCGATGATTAAATGCTGGATTTAGGGATATTTTATTTTCCTTCTTTTATAGCTATGACCAAGTAGAGCAAGTACATAAACTGCCAAAACTGCCAAAAAACAAACAAACACAAAAACCCCATCACTTGCCCTATTTTTGGCAGAGTTCTATATACTCAAGTGCCTGATCCTGGTACCTCAGCACCAATACACTGTGCATTGGGCATTATTTGGTTTGGTACAGTATCTCTCTGTTGTTCTACAATAATAATAATAAAAAAAACCTTTAATAGTGAGTGTTAAGTAGAACAGTGTCATAGTCAAATAGATTTGGTGTATTTTAAAGATTTCTCTGATTGATCTTGGATCAATTATGTATGATTAGAAGATATTATGAGATGACATTCAAAATGGATTTTGTCACCTGTGCGTTAAAGTTAAAAGGGCTTGCAGGTTATATTTCATGTAGGCTAATGTGTATTTCTGTCCACATGTATCAGTTTTTCATTGTAATAAGCCTTTCAGCAGTAGTGTGTATATAGAAACATAAAAAAATAAAAATGCTATTAGAAGGACTCTGCCTTCTTGCCTAGACTTTTTAATATCTTTGTTTTTTTTTAAGTTGCATTCAATTTACTATATGAATGAGCGTTTGTGGACATGTTCAGCGAACAAAAAATCAATAGCTTGGTGTCCTTGATTTTATACCATTGTTTTGTGTGAGTACTAGGCACAAAACAATGCCTTGCAGAAATGTTTTTTTGAACCTTCTGGGATTTCATGAAGAGTCATGCAACTGATAGTGGATATTATGATTGCTTTCCAGTCAGGGGTCTAGCCATATGTGAGTCTGTAGCTCTAGATCAATAGCAGATTCATTACAGGGGAAGGTTTGGAAGACCAGCTGTTCTGGGACTAGATGGCACCCTCAATTCAGTGAGGACGCCAAAGTATAAGTGAAAGTGGCTGTGTTTGTGCTTTTGTCTCCAAAGAAAACATTGAATGTGTGGTCCATCTTAACATATGGGACAGTTTAGTACTCAAGTGCTCCATAATGATTTACTATTTCTGATTGTATGTAAACAAATGTCCCTAAAGTTAGTATTTATTTACTTATGCAGTAAATCCCCATAGCACTGTTCATGAAACCCTCATATCCTTGCCAAAGTCTTGATTTGTCCCTCTTGATAAAAAATCTATTGCATCCTGATTGTCTTCCAGAATGTCATGTACCAACTCCTACATGTTATATAAAAAGCCCATTAGCAAGTATAAACTACAGTAAATCTCTTGAGGCATTAGCAGGATATTAACGTGAATAAATCTAGGAGATTCTTATCACATTTTGGACATGAATGATTTACTATGTACACAATTTCAGTTATCATTTTTGCTGCGTTGTTGAAAAATGTAATGTTTTAATTATCTCTTAAAATGTGTAAATTAATAAATTAAATATTAATACAGGTTGTTTAAAAAAAATGGACCTAATTTCATCACCATCTGGCGAACAACTGAGGCTAGAGGCTGTTGGTTTCGCTGGGTGAGGTATAGATCTAATAAAAGGTTATTTCCCAGCCAACATTTGTATGTCAGGCCAACGTGGGTTTGAAATGGGCTGTAAAATGGGTCTGCGGGTTCCATAATGGCCCCATGCAAATTGGCCAAATGGATTTAATATAGGATTGGACCAACTGGGCAACATGCGCAAGACCCATATCGGGTTACCAGCTGTAATTATAGTCGAAAAAGGTTCTCCAGATTATTTAAAAAAAAAAAAAAAAAAAAAAGGTTCTTATAAGAACTATTCACTGAAAGATTTTTTGGGGTAACAAAAATGGTTCTTCTATGGCCATTCTAAGACCACCTTTTGGAACATTTTAAGGTCATTTTAACACCACACTATCAAAGTGAAATTAATCAATCTCCTTTTTCAGCAAGGTTTTGGAACACAGCCATTTTGGGCCTCAATGAGTTATAACCCTTTTAAATAAAATGCAATAACTCATCATCTTGCTGAATAAGTTGTGGGTGTGGTTGGCAGCTGCACTGTACATGACTGATTCAGTTTTTTAATACATTTGATGTGATGGTGTTTTAGCTCTATAAATCTTATGCCTGCGAGGTTAAAGCCTGTACAGAAGGAAAAAGGGTCAAATGACAGAATGGAGTATCTAAAAGGCTCCAAACACAACAGTTTAGGGTCAGACTACAGCACTATGTGAAGTGCATTTGGCTGTCACAATACCATTACCACAGAGGCAAGAGGGTCACATTTTCTTAAGGAAACATCAGCAACTTTCCAAACGTCTCCACTGACCTAGTTCACCTCTGAGAGATGGATGTTGTTTGAGCATCTCAGCATGGCTTATCCATCAGTTTCTGACAGCATAGATGACGGATGTTCTTTGTGCCCTATAATTACATAGTAAGCTGGTCCAAAGACAGTTACCTTACTCATCCTTTTTTGCTGGTTTTTAAATGCACTATTCTGGATGTTGAAGCTGCTCGCTCTTTGTAAACCAGCCATGTGTTTACTGCCCTTTGTAATGTTTTTACCTTGACAGTCCCTCGCAGGTCATGCACTAGACAATGTTTTTTTTTATTTTTTTATGAAAACATATTTTGCAGCAAGTTTCACTGCAAACTCACAGTCTGCTGCATGGTCTAAACATTTTCAGACAAAAAATAAAGAATCAATTTGTTTTTACTTTTATTTCTGGCCGCCTCTTACAATAAGCTAAGACTTTATGAAAGACCGGACCACAAAAACATATTTGAAATGAATAAATAAGAATACAATATTGACTGGAGACCCACATGTGTTCCCGCATAATATTTATATCTTCCTTTTAACAAAATGCCTGTCATAATACCACCTGAATACAAATTGTTTTTATTGATAGTTTAGGCACTTGCATATAATCAAGGGCACCTTTTATGAAGTTATTTTTAAATAGTATTTTATTTTTATGAACCACATTTCCTGAGCTATTCATACTAGCTGGCAGGAGTGTTTTTCTAATTGGAGCTCTCAGTACTTAGGGTGCATTAGAGATTTATTTAACAAAATTCTCCATCTGCTTTAGATAGTCATTTTCTTGAAGTGTTATCATTTCTTAGCCATGTGTCCTCCCACTGGGATTTGTATTTGCTGGTGCTCTTTCACCACAGGGGTAATCTGTGCCTTCCAAACAGCATTTTCCTCCTAGATTGGGTGTATTGAGCCTCTGGCATTTCTCTGACATTTGTTAGTAATAATTTTAAAAAGCTCCTGTGGGTATTTGTTTCTATTTATAGATTAAGTTACAGTACCAGCCAAAAGTCTGGAGTGGACACATCTGCTCATTCTTTTTATAAATATTTTCAACATTTATATAATGACAAATTACTTTAAACATTTTTTTACTCTGACTCTTCCATGTGTGTCCACACTTTTGACTGGTAATGTTTTTATTCATTTCACTTTTTATTGCGCAGAATTTACCACATTTTACATCCTGTTTTTAGTTTTTCATTTTATTTTTTAGATACCTTTCATTTTCTAGCATAAGTTTTTTACATCATTGACTTTTTTCACAGTGTGTTGAAGGATCTAATTGGATTCTCAATAGCAACTTTAAAGGTGCTCTATGTATCTTTTCTACTAAAATGAATCCTTTTTTTATTGCCTGTGTGTGAAGGGGTTGTAATCACACATTAAAATGATCCACTTGTCGAGTTTTGCTATTACCTCTGAAGGCCAGTATTCCTATTTCTATGTGAAGTCTCCGGGTCGGATTTACCGCGAAATCCAACGGATGTGACATGCATGCGCGCTCCCGAGCCTCTCTCCTTATATACAGTCTATTGTAGACGGTCACTGAGTTACGTCCGGTTAAAGGCGCACGTTTTTCGGCTTATATCTCAGTCAATCTTTGATCAATATTCTCAAGACTCTAATCGTTCGTAGTGCTGGACGGGGCCTTTCGAACGAGCCCACCCCCGAGGTCCAACTCGCCCGGCTCCCCGATTTATAGCCGTTCGAAATCGGGGGTCCCAGCGAACGGCGATCCGGTAGGGGGCATCCCCGAGGCCCACCACTCTAGCGTTCGGGCAAG